TGTAATTCACTAGTATTTTAGTCCAGCTAGTTAATACAATACATACATTACAGGTTACATTCAATAAATCTGGAAATGCATTTAATGTAATTCGTCTGGTACATCATTCTTGTAGTCTAACAGCAACGTGTTGCTAATGATGTGTAAAAAGAGTTCACAAACATTAATGGCAATGTCTGTTAAAGCCCTATTCTGGTTTGCAGTACTATATCTCACAAAGCACATTTTTTCTGAGTAGTAAAATAACACTTCACTTAGGTCTGAAATTGAGCAAAAAATTAAAATGGTGAGATGTTGTACATTAGATCCACTGTCCATATTGCTCACGTGTTTGGTGTGCAGAGCAGCTCTTTTTTAACAGCCGGGTTCAGAGTTTTGCTGGTGGATATGTCAAAACAAGGTAGATAGACTCAGATTCAGTCAAGAATTTAATCTCCTAAATTCAGCTGATTTCAATATGATTTTGCAGTTTGCCATGGTTTTGTTCAGAGCAATCAGAGAAATTGGTCTTACCTTGATGGCTAAATGTGGATTGAGATGTCTCATTTTAGCTACCTGAGGTATACTGGATGCTCTCCTAGCTGCCCTGGCAAAACCATTATGTGCATCTTCAAGTGGGAAGTAAGTACAGACAGACACTAGCACTGATTCACTTGGCCCTTGCAATTTGCCCAATGTATGGGTCCTAATTTTTTGGAAGCGCTGCCTGTGCCTCAGTGCAGAAGGAAGCCTTACTGATGAGGTGTTGGTATGGTATTCCTTTAGAACTTGCCTCATCAATTCAAAGACAAGCTAGAATTGTTAACTCGTTTGAGGGCCTGGCATATATAATAGCATATATCAAGATATATGGTGACTAGTTTGCTATTTAACCATATTCCTCCACACTTCCTCTGAGTGTCACTTTTCCCCTTTATTTAGAAGATCTTTAAAGCACATACTCTGTCTTTCTGTGTTTTAAATTATACATCACAAGTGCACTCCTAATTCTTATTAGAGCAGTCAGTTGCTCCCCCAGTGTTAATAAGCAAAGATACTGCCACCAGGGTATGTTTGTTGGAGCAGTGATATGTACATGACTGAGGGGTTTGGTCAAATACAAGCCATGGCATCATCTAAAAGTGAAGGCTTACAAGGTGTACACACTGAGAGGATGCAGACACCGAGGGTGGAGGACCTGGCATCTCTGCTGTTCCTAACAGGCATTAATCTCCTGTACAGAATTTTAATAGGCTTAAATGATCTTCAGTCATGCAAAACTGTGAGCTGTTCTCTGTCGTAATTCATGGTTGTTATGTTGAGAGACTAACACTGTATTTGAGAATTACGCATCTGTATAGTACTAGGGAGGAAAGAGGAAAGTGTGTTTTTTCTCTTGCTGACAAGCGGATTACACATCTCAGATCTTTTGTTGTAGCTTTACTACCTCTCACTCTGGTTCAGTCTCCTCCCACTGCTAGCCCAACAGGGCATTGATTCAGACTCACCTAGTCAAATTATAAGAGAAATAGGCACATCAGGACACGTTCCTCCCCATTCAAGGCAATGTCGGGCCAACATGACATGAATATGATTTCTTTATTTGGAGACCAGTAGGGGAGACAAATGGAAGGAAGAGCTTAAAAGCGCAATGTAGCATCCATGTAACTTTGATATTCAAGCAATACATCCATGCCGTACCCTTCAGTGACAGCAAGGACTTTTTGTATCTGCCCCCTGCTACCAATCTGACACAAAAGTCTCTCCCTCCAGAAGTGGCAAAAGCGTAATATCTCTGGATGTTTGCCCTTTAGTCACTGAGCAGCAGGAAAGAAATTGTTTCTTCTTCCTATAATGCAGCCAGGCAATTCAGGTCATTATTTCTGCCTCCACACTGCATGCTGGGACCAGAAATAAAGCTAGTCTCAGGTGTGTCAAAAAGGCTCTTCGTGAATGGGGCAATGGCAAAGGGCTGCACGGAGGGATGCTAATTTGTGCTGCACATGCTACGGCACACAGTGGTTGCTGTAGCACAGCATGTTTCACTGGCAGAGGGTGCACAAGGACATATGTGTGCAAAAGAACCAGAGCCTAACTGCTGATGATTTTTTCTTGTTTTATAACTGGCATTTAGTCTCCAGATCCCTTTTAACAGGCAATTTGGCAGATATTTGAGGCACATGATTTAAGACAGTTTTAGAAAATATGGCTACTGTGTATCTAGAAGAATCAGAAGAATGAGGAAAGCAAGTAAAAGAGAGGAGGAAGCATCTAGAAATGAATCTAATGGATGACAAAAATAATGTGATATTCACTGGACTGGGAAAGTAAAACATGGCCTGGAAGTTAAAGTTCATGTAAATGTACTTAGAATGGCTGACTGCTGGAGCTGTTTGTTCTGACGCATGAGAATATACACCTTGTGATGGTCATTAATGGCCTTGTAAGATGAGGCCCTATTGCCAGATATGAAGGTCATTGCACCACCAGCAGCACCCCAGAGGTAGGGAATAAAATGAAGGCTTTATTTACTGTGACACAATAAATGGCCTGCCCTGCCACAGTTGTGTGCAGTGCCTCCTTCTCGGGGATCCCTGCACCCCACCTTGCTGCATGTATAACTAAGACTGTGATGTCTGATCAGATACAAACTAAAATACAAGCTTCTGTGGTTATAACTGGAAGGGACAAAGGGATTCCCTTCATGTCATAACAATGTCATATTTTGATGCCATGGGTGTGTTGCTAAAAGCCAGTTGGGAAAGATCTGAGCTGATTCTGCCTGAGCTGATCAGAGCACGGCCCATGCAGAGACACTGATTGGCACCCCAAAGGCAGGAAGGTGATGAAACTGTGGTGCTGCCACCAGACACAATTTGCTAGTGCCAGTGCAGTAGTTCAGGACTAATTTGTTCAGTGTTTGGGGATTTTTACACTACACAATACTCACAAGGGAAATATGCTCAGTGATGTTAATTTTGAAATGCTGATTGGCAGCCTGAACTAGATAATGATGTCTGGGTGCAACCACTTAAAGAAGCATGAGCAGTAAATAAAGATGAACAGAAACCTTTTCAAGAACATGCATTTTCCACAGAAAATGCTAATTTGGCAAAAATGATACAATTTGAAGACAAGTCATTTTTTTAAGAAGTTCAAAAGAGAATCTCGAAAACACTCGTTCATAATATTTTATAATAGCAAAACATGAAGTGCAAGGGTTGCATTCCCAGATTTTCCCCACCTTTCTGTTTAATAGTGAATATGTGCATAGAATAGAAAATAAACGTCAACTTTCGGGACTCTCCAGAGAGGCTGGTTACTCCTCTGGTCTAATAATAAACCTGGTAACAATGACTTTACTAACTGTTTGTAGATGATTAACAAATGTACTGATAGAACAGTAAATATACTACAGAATGTATCTCTTTAAGAAAATGGCTACACACCTCCCTCTTTAAATTCTTAGGAAGTGTTAAATATAAATTGCAGTGCATCTGTAGATAGCAGGTGAAGAGTCAGATCTGAACTCTTGGCAAGATAAAGAAACATCCTGCACTTATCACAGTAATGAATACTTCATTAAATCCATCCTTGGTTGAAAAGCTACATGCTTGGAGGCAAAAATGTAGTTACCTTCTTAACGTGTGCTTATCTCTGTAACATTCTGTACTGTTCATAAACGTGGTGCTTGTGGCTGAGATGTCTCTGTGTGAAAGATATTACAAAACCTTCCCTTTTTTGAAAGTAGCCTTTGCTGAAAGGAGAGAGAAGCTGAGGCTGCTGCAGAACCTTTTGGCATAGCCACTGTTTTTCAGAGCAGATATCAAAGGTGCTGGATAACTGATGGATGAGTCTTTTTTGAATCCTGTGTAAAAACGCGAGTGACAGGGTTTAACACTGTTTGTAAATTGGGGGCCTTTCCTTGCTTCCCTTTTTACAGCTTCTCTAGCTGTTCATTAAATCGCTGGCACATGGAGGAAAAGTTTAGGTGTTTCTTGAGCTGAAAATGATGGAAAAATAGCAGAGAATGCAGGAGCCTTTATACTTAGATTAGTTTAATAGATGGATTTTCCTGTCAGAAGCTTACAGAAGATTACAGTAGCTGGTGTACTGAAGGTAAAATAAGATCGGAATTGAAAAAGGGGATACCCAGATTTTCACACATCAAGAGGGTATTAGAGAACTTGGCAGTTATTGCACCTGAAAGCTTATTTTGAGAAAAATCAGCTGAGAAAACCTTTACATACCATCAGACTTAAGGCTATTCATCTAAATCACACATGTTGTGGTTTAACCCAGCAGGCAGCTAAACACCACACAAAGGAAAAAAGGTAAAATTTGTGGGTTGAGATCAAGACAATTTAATAGGACAGAAAAGGAAGGGAAAATAATGACAAAAGAATATACAAAACAAGGTAAGCACAATGCAATTGCTCACCACCCACTGACCAATGCCCAGCCAGTTCCCAAGCAGTGGTCCTGCCCTGCCCCAGTCAACTCCCTGTGGTTGTTTTGCTCTGCATAATGTCATATGGTATGGAATATCCCTTTGGCCAGTTTGGGTCAGCTGTCCTGGGTGTGTCCCCTTCCAGCTTGTTGTGCACCCCCAGCCTCCTCACTGGCAGGGCAGTTTGAGAAGCTGAAAAGTCCTTGACTTAGTGTAAGCACTGCTCAGCCACAACTAAAGCATCAGTGTGTTATCAACATTATTCTCATTGTAAATCCAAAACACAGCACTATGCCAGCTACTAGGAAGAAAATTAACTGTATCCCAGCCAAAACCAGGACAACAGGCCTCCAGATATCTTAGATACTATTAACAACCATTAAGTGTTGGACATTAGGTTGTGTTCTACAACCTTGCTAGTCTTTAAAGAGAGGCAAGAAACACCCCAAAAACAAATGAGGATTTTGTTGAAGTTTAAAGGCATTAGTGCACAGAATTTCTGGTTTGGTCAAGGAAGAAGTTTTGTCCTGACTCAGTATGAATGAATTTTTCTCTCACTTTCTCCCTGTAGCGGGCATGTTACTGGAAAATCAGTTCTTTACCAGAACTTTATCTTGATCCATTCCCCCATGCTGGCAAGCTGGAGAAGCAGCTGTCATGGGTATAAAACTTCATGCCTGCTGGAGTTTCTCTTGCCAGGGCATTTGACTGCAGTAGAGGTTCTGCACTGTCTGACGGCCACAAAAAACTGACACAGAGATTTCAGTTCTGTTACTGCATTGTGTTCGTGGGAATCCATGGATGCTTCTACGACATAAGAAAGCAGACACAAATCCTAGATGCGTTGGCCAATCCTAGATGCTGAGGCCATCTCAAGTAACTGGTCACTACTGTATGTTTCATGACATCCTGGTGGTTGTTGCTTGTTTGTTTGTTTTTCACCTTCAAATAATACACGTGAGTTTGACCTAGATATAACAATCTCTACTAGTAGTTTGTTTATATAGCATATGTGCTCTTCCACAAAATTGATTCTCCCCCTTCTTAGAAGAGCAGAGTACATTGAAGGCAGCAATACATGAGCTCTGAGTTCATTGTGGAGGCCACATTTATTCTGAAACTGTTTTTTCTTCTAGACTGTTGGCTGTGATTATGAGATAAATTCCAACGCAACTGAAGACCAGTGTGGAGTGTGCCTGGGAGACGGCTCTGCTTGTCGTACAGTGAAGATGATGTTTAATCAAAGAGAAGGATTTGGTAAAATGGGTTCTTTTTTTAAACTCTTCAGTTGGTGAAATAATTTCTCTACATAAAAAGGATAGAGCGCTTCTCGTTGCAAACTGAGTGATCGATCTGCGTAGGAAATTGTAAATGGATGTTTCACAGTGAGTCATGCTTCTGCCAGAAAAGATCTGTGGTCTGTGCTTTTTAAGTCCGCCTTGTCTAATAAAAATTATGTCAGAGACCAACAGGCCCTACACAAGTTACACAGATAATAGTAAAACCCAAAATAGCAAGTGCATTTACAAAATGAATGTAATTTACCACCTTGGAAAATCTGGACCAGATCTCTAGACAGTGTAAAGCACCAAGAAAATGCTGGAGTGAGTGGTTTGGGGATTCATTTCTAAGTGTCATAAATCTGATACCATTGGCTCTGGTGACCATGTGCCACTTCTTCCCCATGAAGAACTTTGCACTTCTGGTCACTCTCAAATTTTCTAGGGGATGCTTAAGTAACTTCCTGAAGGGTTAAGGTGGTCTGAATCAGCACTCAGAGGACTCAGCCTTTCTTCACTGACAGCACTGAGCCATTCAGGCTTACAAGTTGCCTTGCGTGGGATGAATGGGAGCCAGAGAGTCTAAAAGAGGGAGTGGGAGACTAAAACTGAATGAGAACCATGGTGGTGAGTTGAAGGTGGAAGAGACGGCCAGGATGAACAGCTTTGAATAGGAAACCAGGACAGGAGGGGGAGAAGTGAGAAGATGGGGCACTGAAGAGTGTGCTTAGAGCAGACTTAGGCTGAAGAAAGAGGCTGATGCAGAGATGAGAACTCTCAAGAGCAACAATTGGTAGAGGAGGGAGAAACTGCAGTGACAGTGTGACTTTGGCTGGCTTTTGGGTTTGTGGGTTTGGGTGTTTTTTCCATAAAATAATTCTGATTTGTACAAATATGATTTGTGTTAATAATTTAGAGCTGGTTTAATAAGACCTTCCAAAGTTTAGGGGAAAAACACTTTAAATATTTCAGGGTTCTTTCTGTACTGTGTACTTGGATTTGCTTTCCTCTGTTCCATATCCCACAGGTGAACCATGAAGATACCTGCAACCATGCAGCAGTGCAGGTTGTATATGTGTGCAAGACTTACAAAGTAAAATCTAGAGCTCCCTCTCCTCCAATACTACAGTAATCCTCCAGCCTCTAATCTTTTGCTTCTGCTACTCTAAAATTCACTCTGCCTTTGACTGTGTGGGGGGTTTCCAAGGCTGGAGATGATATGAAGTTTATTTTCAAATAACAGTTTTACTAAAAAGGTCCAGTACTGTAACACATGGGAGGATAAGTGCCTCTTACTTTATTTAAATTCATTTTGTGTTTTATCTCCACCTAGTTTTTTCCTTGCCCCAGGATTCAATAAGCCTCAGTGACAGATACTGCTGAGGGATACTGAGTGTTAAGTAAAATTATTTCATCACTTTCTTTAGATTCAGTTATGAATGGACTGATTCTGCAGATTCTTTCCCTTCTACTGACATTGACCCCATGCAGACAACATAAGGAAAAGTGTCAGGAAAGGCAGAGGTTGGTGGGCTCTTCAGCTTTTAAGACAAGGTGTGGATCTCACTGATGTTCACAGGGGTTAAACTGAGAGTAGGAAAATGGTTTTGTTCACAGTATCTGGCTTCTTTTTTCTCTGACAGGTACTGTGGTGTTCTGTCTTGCAGTACAGATTTATGGCAGAGTGGCTACTGAACAGTTTATGTAAACATAAAGACTTCAGGCTCATAAATTCAGTATAGGTAACAAAACTGGACCAAAGCATGCTGCTAGTCACTGGCAAGGAAGATTTGAAGAGTTTTTTCTATGTTTAATGGCACAGAGAAATACAAAACCAAAGCTAATATATTTTGATTTAAAGCTTTATTCAGAACCTAAGTCCAGCAGGGCCTTTCTTGGGTCTGATGCTGCAGCAGTGTGTATTCTGTCTGCAGGTGGACTAAGTTCCCAGGTCAGACTAATGAAATGCTAGGAAAGAGTTTTAATAATTCAGCCTTTCACTGCAGGGCAGGGTGATGAGTTTTACCTGAAGTCTTATCACCGGATATTCAGAAAGAAAAGTTTTAAAATCTGTATTATTACTTGGATTTTCTTCAAAATTCTTTGTCTTTCCTGTGGATGCAAAATGGGAATAGTGATCCAGGGGCTCCCAACACAGCTGCAAGAACGGCAGCATCATCTGTGTAATGGATTCCATTAGTTTCATAAGGGAAAAGAATCAGAGGTCCGATGTGCACAAAGCATCTCAGCTGTTGACACTAATATTAGCAAGTACCTGGTCTGCACCTTGTTTTCAAGAGGTTCATTTGAAAATCATTGAAGTTGCTTCAGCTGAACTCCTATGGCAGAAAGGTTTCAACATGAGCAGGGCATTGAAAAGCAAGGTCTCAGCCTGGGCAAAGAAGTCACAAGCTCTTCTGTTGTTAAGGTAGAAGAAGTTTGCTTTTATTTTGAGGTAGAGTATTTAAAAGTGGAAATCTCTGTTCTTATTCATGTTGTTGTGATTACTGCAAAGGACTATTACTGTGTACAGCAGAATGTTTGCAAGTTTGGAAGGAGAATAAATTGTGCTGCTGGATGAGGAGGAACGTTGGGGTAGGAGAAGGACTGAGGCACAAGGGACAGGGGTTTAGGACTGTGGCAAGTGCAGGGAGCGTGGAGTAAATGGATAACAAAAAGAAGGAATGAGGTTGTGAGGGTCAAAGGGATCTGCCTGGGAAGGAGGCGTGGCTAGGAAACAAGTGGTGGTCAGAAGGATGGGTTGTCAATTGTCCTGTCTTCACCCCTTTGTGTGTGTAGGAGGAAATGGGTTTTCCAACTTTCAGCAGCAAGGGGACAATGCATTTAAATTTATGAAAATTAGGAAATGAGGGATTGTACAATAGTGGGGGGAGATGTCTTACTCTGCCAGTCAGAAGGTAAGATTAGGTGCATATCACTCCTGTGAAGGGCTGAATCTTAGCAAAGTGGTGGGCAAACAAGGAAGCTCTGGCTGTACTTAGTTTAACCTGGAGGTTGATCCTGGTCTCGTTATGTCGTGACCAACTTGTTGGGAACTGAATCAACGTGCCATCACCTCCCTGCTACCCCTGTTGCCTTGCCATGCAACCAAAGTGCAGACAGAGACCTGGTATGTGCCTGAACCTAGCCCTGAGATGGAGTCTGGACATAGCCATGATGCAAATATTGATCTGAGAGACTGAAGTTCTCCTGGATCCTCACTTAGGAGACTGTCTCTGGACTATAATTTTTCTGCCATTACCATCACACACTGCAGTGCTCCCTCTGTTCCATGGGAAGGCTGTATGCAACCATACCTTGACTTGCAAACGCGATATGCCACCGGGAGCCTGTGCTATTTCCCATGTAATATTCTTGTGGTAGTGCCTAGAGCCTGGCTTAGAGGAAAATCATGCCTCAGGAATACGTATTTTTAAGAGAGAGAAGCTCACAGATACAACAGACTGGAGAGCAGGATGGGAGCTGTCTTGATAAGGAGAAATACCCAGATCTGATTATCACCTGATCTGCAATACTGTGCTAACCACCTCAGTGAAATTACTCCTCTCTCATAGCAATGGGAAAAGAGAAACAAGCTCTTCAGTTCTGGTAGAGCTGTGCCTGCAACAGGGGTTGCATGAATTTATTCATGTTGTACTCTTGTCTGTGTTAGGAGCATACAGATTTAATTTTAATTAAAAAGGGAAAGATTAATAGCATCTGAGAGCTGCCATTTCACAGGTGTGTGGTAGCACCCACAATATGGATGCCCCAGGATTTAATGAGCACAGCATGTAGGTTAGACAGCTGACATTTTGACTTACTGAATCTCCGATCTCTGGATCCTTATCAGATGAAACCGTATAACCAGGAACAATTATATAAACACCATCCACACCATTTTTAAACAAAAATTTATTATGTTGAGTGACAAACTCAAAAGCTTGCTGCTGATTAGCTTTGCTTTCAAAAGCAGATAATGTTCATTGGGAATTAGTGTGAGGTTGTGGGAAATCGGGAGGTAATTTAGCTAGTCAAAAAAGGGACGGCCACTGAGAAGGGAGTATGATACCTTAACGAAACGGTAATATCTATCACCAGACAGTTGCAATCTACTGAAAATCAGGTATATAAGCAAAAGCAGGTGATTCAGTCAAAAATAATTGTGCAAAAACTTGAGAGGATACAGATTTTTATGTTACAACAGGAAGAAAATTATGTTTTATTGGTTTTATACTTTGTGTTTTGAACAAATGTTATTCTAATTACCTCTGGGAAAAAAAACCTACTGAAAAAGGACACCAATGTTGCAAAGCCGAGCTGTCGGGATGTGACACAATTAAGATTTTCCATGCTGTGTTAATTTGGCCCACTTCTGAGTATGCCTTCTAATCAAGTCTTTAGTTACATGATCACACACCATGTTCATAACACGTCTCCTCTGCACTCAATGAATAGAACATTTCAGAGAATCATTAGATCTTGGTTACTTATAGTAGACCTAGACCACTGGTTTCCTATAAAAGAAGTTACTCAGCAATCCTCCAGACTTTGTTATTCCCTTCACTTATGAAAGAACTGAAAAGTTTGGATTTCCAGTCAGTCTAGCAAACTTGCAAAAGGTGACATCCAGAACACTCTCCCTCTTGAACTTCAATCACTGGAAAAATATATATGTAATTATATATTATTAATGCAATTAGGACAGGCCTGAAGTAGACAGATCCTTTTTTGTACCATAAGCAACATATGACATTAGAACCAATACTTAGCACCCCACAGAAGAGCTGCATAGAAAATTCTGATGTTGAAGACTTTGGGGCACTCATTGATAACAGCAGGTTGTTGTACAGCATATAACTACGCCTGGTAAGTGGAGAGCATTGAAACTGAAGATCACTTAGTATGCCCATTGTGGTTTATCTCACTCATGTGAGTTAGTAATCAAAGGTGATAACCTTATTTCACAAGAAAGGTGAATGGGTTGTGAGTCTCAGAATTTAATTCCTGATGTCAGCAGTGTGTGATGAGAGGTGGGGAACCACGTATGTTCCATTCTTGAAGTAAACGAGCACAAACTGCAGCTCACACTCCCAGGGCACCTGCTTGTAGAGCTGTCATCCATCTAATTTATAAAGCTCAGCCAGGAGCAATAGCAAGAAAGCTGAGTTTGTGTTCAAATTTCTATGTGAACTTCCTATTTTACAGTTCAGTAGCAATAGCAGTTTCCTGTAAGGTAAGAAGCACAGAGTCTTGTGTCGTGTATTGTGGGTGGTGCAAAAAAAATATTCTGTAATAGATACTCCGGGTTCATTCTTAACACACATACCAAAAATCTCTTTTTACAGATAAGAAGAGCTGTTGAGCTTCCTTGTGAAAATCAGTCGTTTGTAACAATGTGTTCAACTGATCATAGTAATTTGAGACATTTGAATAACATTCTTTTTTTTTTGTAGCAAGGGTATCTATGGGAAACAGTCATGGAGAAGTTAAATGACTTAAGAGAAGGTACATGGAATTCTGTACATGCCTGTACGTTGGTGACAGATGAAAATGTTATTTGCAAATTGAAAAGACCTTTCCCACAACAGACTGTTGACTTGCTGGGACTCCCTGGCATTTCTCCAGGGTACTCACACTGCAGTATGCCAGAGCCCTTGAGTATGGTTACGGAGATGTTGATGCTCATCTGTGGAGTAGATTTCCCCTGGTGCAGCTCAGAAAATCATTCACCTCCATATCCCTTCTAAGTGCCACTGTCATTGCCTAAACACAATGCATATTTATATTCCCCAACTGATACTGGAAAACCTGGTTTGGAAAGTCACACTATTAACTAACTGAAATACAGGCTCTGTGATAGCACATTTATATATATTTTCAAGCTGGTGTTTTAATAATTTTATACATAAATAAAATGCAATGACATTTTTATTGTTTACCTCCATGAACCTTTCTTGTCTCTTAGGTTATGTTGATATTGGGCTAATTCCAAAAGGTGCAAGGGGAATCAAAGTCATGGAAGTTGCAGAAGCAGGAAATTTCCTTGCTGTGCGAAGCAAAGACCCAGAAAAATACTACCTGAATGGAGGCTTTATCATCCAGTGGAATGGTGAATACAAAGTGGCAGGCACAGTATTTCAGTATGACAGAACAGGGGATCTAGAAAATCTGACTGCTCCAGGACCCACCAATGAATCAATATGGATTCAGGTAAATAGGAGATCACTACCAGAACCTGCTGGGTTTGGATGGCAGCAGAATGTGCTGGGGCCCTGAAACTGAGGCTGGAAAAGTACATATATTTGTATATAAACCACTCTAATAGCATGTTGTCTGACAAAAATAAGTTGAGCTATTTGGAGAGAAATAAACCTTGCTTGAGAGGGTTGTTCATCCTGCCTGAAAATGGATGTCCAGTATCATAGTCTGATGATTATCAAAGGCTCGTATAATCCAGTGCTGCCACTAGATTAAGGATCCTGCGACCTGTAGTTGGTCAGTCGTTTGTTTGCCCAGACTTCCTTGTCTCTTGTGCCAGCTTAAACCAACACGCGGCTGTGGTGTGAACTGGGCCCAAATGAAAAGTAACTATTTATCACAAAAAGGGATCTGCCAGGCTGTGAACAGTGAGAGCCAGGGAAGGCTGACAGCAGTGACAGGTTGCACTGAGCAAGAAAATACAACATTAGATGAATTAATAGCTTATGGTAAGTGAAATGGATCCATTTAGCATCCACTGAGGTTGCTCCCTTTTGTTTCTTTTATGTTGCTTTGTAGATTCTAACTTAAACGTAACCAGCTTCTGTTACTTGTGCAAAAATAGTTTTAAATTGCCCCTTTGTTCTCTGAATGTATCTTTCCTGGCTTGTTTGCCTGTGTATCCACCATGCAATTAAAATAAGTATTAGAGGTGTGATGGGAGCCACTTTCACACTTTGAATGTCTGGTGAGAAGGCACATCTAATGGGTTCTCAATCTTCACTGTTAGTAACAAGGTCAAGGAAACAATTAGGAGGAAGAATAGAAGTTCATTGCTGAAGTCTTTTATCGCTTGATGATGTTTTTCTTTTCTCCCTCTCATCAACCAAATGGTAGATTGCTTGAGTGGCTCTTCTCAGTTGGAATTTTCCTTCTTAATCCAGAAACACTGAGAAATAATTTTAAAGCAGTGTCTGAATAAAGTCTGTAATTTTCTGACCTACGGGTTGTTTTGTAACAGCTATTTCAGAAGGGTAGGGAAATTATAATAGTGATAGGCAATAGCTCTTAATTTGGCACATTTGGCAGTGCCTTGGATGGACTTTGCATTATGTTTTCTTACAGTCAATAGGATACCAATTATGCTGACCCACTTACTCCCACCCGTGCTTGCAAAAGTGCATGATAAACAACTGTGTCTTAGAAAGATACACGTATGCCACTGCTGGTGCACAAATGGAAGTTTTGCCAGTCTGCTTTTCTGAACTGGTACTAGGCTCCAAAATGGGCTGATTTAAACCTTGTTGATTCTTCTGTTTTCACACTTTGAAAGCTTTGGGCCAATAGATTATTAAAATTATAAGTAAGTAAATAAATCACACTCTTTTTTCAGCTACTTTTTCAAGAAACTAACCCTGGAATCAAGTATGAATATACTGTACGTAAAGAAGAAAGTCATGAAAATGAGATTGGAGAGCCAGAGTATTTTTGGCAGTATAGAGACTGGACAGCCTGCAGTGTTACCTGTGGAAGAGGTAATTCCTCACTTCCTTTTTCTATTACTGTTTGTCTTCATTACTGGGAATCTCATCTTTAAGTTACCCAGACAGCATCCTCAAAGAGATAAGGTTTTTTTAATCTGCATATGGTGGGAAATCAGATCACATGGTTACAATAATGTATTTTGGCTTTAAAATAAAATGTTACTAAATCATTTAAGGCAAATAGTTTTCTATAACACCTGCCCTGAAATTCTCAACCTCTGTGAACCAAAACAAAATTTGTTGTCAATATTGTTCACAATATAACCTTACTTCCCAGCAACACTAATTTATGACCTACTCTTGTTTCCCTACTGAGTCTTTCCAGTATGTTAACTACAAAAAATACTCTTCATTTCTGTCCTGCCTTGATAAGCAACAGTGCTTTTTGTGCATTTCTCAATAACTATTTAAATCAGTCTTGAGAACTTACATGTTTTTGCCACTCTCAGTACAATGGCTTGGGAACAGCTGCAGTTATGTTGTAATTCTGTGCAGCATGTTAAGCCAGACAAGGAGGATGATGACCATGAAGTAGGATCTAACAACAGGTTTAGAAGTTTGCCTTTGGTAACACACAGAAAATGCTGGCAGGAAAACTTTCTTTAAAGTAGTTAGCAGATCCATGAGATTAAGTTAATGCTTGCAGTACACCAACTATAATGATAAAAAGACTGAAGGTTTCTTTACAAAAGTGAAGGGTTTTATCCATACTTTGTGGGAATAATTTTTAAAAGAGGAGAAAAATGTTGTGTGTGAAAGGAAGTCTGCACTTGGGGGGAAGAGATTGCAGCCTTCAGTCTGAATTAGTTGCTGAGTTTCACTGGACAGAAGAGTCCTGGAGATAGGGTGGGAACCTTGTTCTTTGACCGCCTGTGTGAAAAGTGTACAGAACGGTGTAAGACGAGTGTTCTCCACAGCCACAAAATGAAATAAGCCTTTTCTCTTTCTAATGCTAGGGTATTGTTGGTGTTTTTTGATAATTATTGCTTTCTTTAACTACTACCCACAAGGAAAGAAAAAGACAAACAAATGTTGTAACAAGTCCAGTTGGGAGTCTAGAAGCAGTGATAATTACAGGAGTAACAATTTTTTAATCTTTCCTGTCAGGGAAGACACTAAAATAATGCATTTTCAGTAGTTTGAAGAAGGACATTGTATGGCCTTAATTTTAGAAGGTTAGAAGAAGAATTTTAGAAGAATAGTGTAAACTACCCCATCCCAATAACATTCCTATATTCTTAAAAAATATATTTTTACATATGTAATGGACATATTGTAGAGATCTTTATATATCCATATATATATATGTTTGTGCACATATTTTTGTGGTTTATTTTTGGGGGTTTTTTGAGAAGAGTCTCTCACCACCAAACACCATGTGCTTTCTGGTTAGCAGAAAAAAAAAATTTCTTTAAATAGGTACCCAAAACAAGTGTTTTGCTTAATTGCGTACTATGTGTTTTAGTTCTGACACCTAGTTGTGAATAGTGTTTAATGTAACAATTGGCATGCTAACAAAAAGAGGGGGGGAGAAAGTGTTATTAGGTTGTTCATTGTGTTGGTTTGGGGTTTTTTTCCATCAGCTGCACTTTTCCCAGAACTGTTTCTCACTAAGTAAATTATAACTGTGTCCTACCTTCTGGCTAAAGAACTGTGTGACTTGTCTTTGATTTCTGCCACATGGGTTGCTTAAATAGAGGACTGCAGGATATAGGGTTTTTTTCAGTTTTTATTTATTAAGTGGGTTGCCCTGTTTACTGTCTTTGGACTCTTAATAAATATTTCTTGAGCTCACTGGCTTTTTCTTTGCATAAGTAGAAATTATTATTTCAGGCAAGATTGTGGACTTAACCGACATGAGTTTGCAGGGGAGCCAAGAGGTGCATCACAGTTCAAAAGGGGCACAGAAACCTTCCCAGTTCTATGTATTCCTTCATAGACAGGAGAAAATAACAGACTTTTTGCTCTCTTTCCTCTTAGATATGTACACTTATAAAAGTAACTGAACAGGTCTAAAGGAGGATGTAATCTGCTAATATATGATGCAGTCAGGGTACTGTCACTTACTCCCTGCCCAGAAAAAAAGGAAACCCTGGCACAGAGCTGCAGTGCATCACTTGAACCAGCGGAGCTCTGATATTGCAGTCTGTCTGCAGTTTTCTGCAGGTACCTGGTGCTTAATCTGGTTGTGTTCTGGGCTGTCTGAATGCGGACCAGCTGAGCTGTTGTCTTATTAGGTTGACACTGAGTTTGAGCTGGCTGGTCCTCCCAAGCACCACACTGGTGCAGTAATATGGCGGGTTTATGCCTGGATGGTCAGAGCACAAATACATCAGCAAAAATACCTGGAGCTATGCTGCATAAAAAAAAAGGTGTAGCAGCATGGAACGTGTATTTGGACAATGTTAGCTCTCCATCTTTATGGAAATTTGGAAGCTCTAAAGTCTTGCTACATTTAGCAGGGAATATGGGCATGGAAGTGATGTTGACCTAGAACCAGAAAGTCTCACGTGGTTACGCATTATTGTGGTTTGGTCCCCCCGAGTTCAGCTCAGGACCAGGAGGCACAATAAAGACAGAACTGAATGTTCCCAACGTTGCTGGATTAAGCCACACCCTTCTCTGACTTCCATAGAACTTCCTTCTGGCTTTGAATGATGAGATTGATTTTATCTGAATGTACACTGTTTAGATTCAGAATTTATTGCCATTGCCAGTAACAGACCTGTTGTGCCAAATCTCAGGCATTTCAAGAGTTTTGAAAGGTTTTTAAGATGAAGTGCGTTGAAGTAGGCAAGATCATCTTCTGCTTTCGGTGTGCTGTGTGACAAGTCTACTGAAGACAAGCCTGCAGTGGGGTCAGGGAGATAAGGAAAAGTTGCTTTTATTTAGATTGAAGGTAGTAGTAAAATAACCTTCAAGGAATTTTGCCGTTATCATTTGGTAAATAATAAACCAATAGTTTTTCAGGATAAAAGGGAGGACCAAGAAAGGTGAGCTGTTGAACTAACCTCGATGGCCACAGCCAGTAGGAAAAATTGATCCTTACCTGCAGTTTTGTTCTCTGGCAAACCCGGGCGTGCCTAAAGATTCAGCATAGGGCCTCTGGTCAATATGGTAGCAGTAGTAGCAGTAAATCCAAGGGCACTTTGACCTTTTGTAGCCATAGAGATCAGGACAATGCAAACAAATGCTTTCTGGAGCCAAGAGAGTGAAGCTGAGTTAGGGAGTGATAAATGGGGCTACAAGCATGGGAATGGGCTGGTGCACGAAAGCTTCATCTGTCCTAAGAGAGAAAATACCATTTTAGATCCAAGGGAAATGTACCTGGAAAATGTCCCAATGACAAATAATGCCTTTGCAGAGTGAAGTTGTCCCTTCTTAGAATTAGCCCAGGGCAGCTCCCTAAAGACATTTTCCAAAAGATTCATGGCCTCAAGATGGCACCACGCTGTGCCCTGACCCATGTCCTTCCCCAACTCCATTGCAAGTGAGAAAGAGAAGATGCAAATGTGCTCATGTTTTCCTTCATTTCTTTCATGTGTCCTTGTGTTTTGTAGTCTCAAAGAGTGGGTCTGACCAGTCTGCAATAACACCATTTAACAGGGAAAAATCAAAGTTTTCTGTAGCAAATATACCTAATACTCCATGCAGGGAAGAGGAGAACACATTGCAATACCTGCTGTCCATTTGCAATGTAGAAAATAGTTCAGTAATTACATTGCAATCCATTTCATGGCAAAGAAACACCGAAGGGGATAATTTATAGTAAAATCATAAGCCTTGCTCTGTCCTCACAGCCATTTGCTTTATGCAGAAAGGAGTTGCTTTGCAGTCAGAATGTGTCCACATCAGACAATGTCCTGCAGACTGCTGCACCCTCTGGGCAAGAGCCTGTCCCTCCAGAGCCTACTGTCAAGACAGCATGTAAAGCCTTTAAGCTTTTTTATAGGAAGACTAATTTAAATGCCTCACTGAGTTTTTCTCTAGACCAACTACCCATTATTCTTTCTTTAAATAATGGTCAATTAGATACTACAAGTATAAATCCTTTGTCCTTGTCTAAAGACTTTAATCATGTTTCTTGGAACTAGCTTTGAGTGGCATTGAACGCAAAAAGAAGCGAAGTGCAGCACATCTGCAACTAAGGGAGAATATTAGGCAACCTCAACAATTTACTTCTCCATAGATAACATCAGTAATTGGCAAATTTTAAAAGCTTTGCAAAAGGACTTAAGGGTAACATTTGTTTGGAGGTTAATTGTTATGTGCCCTCTAAATCCTTCATAACTGTTATTAGGGCTACTTTGCAAAATTACCTCCAGGTGTTCCTGAACTGAAATGTGGTACTAAACTTGTAGCACTGATTTTAGAAAACAAAGGTCACTGTATTTTCCTTCACTATTATGGGTCTGAGTTTTGTAAAACCAAGAATGTAAAGGTTGGCTCTTGCATTGTGTACCTAATCTGTGCATGCATTGAATATAATTTGTTCATTCAAATACCAAAGTGAACTCCTTGCAGGGTATCTGATTTGATGCACAACTGTGACAATTACATGTTCAAATTAGTTTTACAATCAAATACGCTCTTTTGTATACACATTTTGTATTTTTGCTTCTGGCCCTTCATTTCTGTTGTTCTCAGCATTAATTTTGCCCAAACTGAGGGCTATGCTACCAACAGATTTTTAATCTCTGTTTCAAAAACTTTTCACACCCAAACAATTTTAGACTGGCACCTTTTTTGGCAAACTGAGTGAGAAGTCAGGGTCTGAGTGGGTCAACCTCCCATCTCAAAAGTCCTGCATTAGGGATGAGGTGGCACAGAGAGGTGGCAGCAATCGCTGAGCAGATTTAGTGAAATCAAGAGCGTTCTTTGATCTGACTGTTGTCATTCTTGGTTTCTTTTTTTTTTTTTTTTTCCCCCTGAAATATTTGTAGTGTTTTTTTCACAGAGCTGAGATGGTACAATTTTATGTGAAGAAACATGGGTGTGGCAAGGCTACAGTGCAGTGAGTGCTGAGGTGAGCAGAAAGGAATGGGGTACTCCCACTCCAGAGGAAAAAGCAGCATCTTTGCAGTGGGATTATGAGCACAGAGACAATGTCCTGATGAATACAGCCAGCATCTTTGTGCAAGGAAAACAGTTGTCAGCGTGGACTAGTTAGCACTGAGGTCAGAGAGAAGTAAAAGAGGTGAGGGGAGGAAAACAGCTACTTGCTCAGAGTCCTGTAGACACAGTATTTGGGTTTCCAATTTTAATGATATTTTAAGTATATTTAAAATTTTTCATTTGTGACTTAAATTATAGTCACAGGATATATAGGATATTACATATTTAAGTTATGTAACTGTGTAAACATTTGGTAGGGCAGGTGTGTGGTGTGAGGTGTGAGGTGACTAGCTTTCTATGTCTGCAATGTTTTCTAGTTCAGCTTGCTCAAGCTGAAAAAAAGCATCTGTGTTTCATTATGTCATTAGAAGTATACCTACATATATATGTGTGTATCAATACGTGCATACAGGATTCCTTCCAACTTTGGAACTGAGCTATACACAATCATGATGAAAAAACTGTGCATTTATGGCTTCTTTGAATATATACATCCATCCCAGAACTCTCCAGATTTTGAAACTACAGTGGGAGTTCACATAACTTCCATAATAAAAATTGTTTCTGTGAATAAATTAGTTTATTGATGCCAGCAATCGGCAAATGTTTTATCAGAATGTACAGCCTCAAACCAAAAATTTTGCAAAGGCTTATAGTGGTTTTAAAGTGAATTACAGCAGCTGAAATGAGACTAAAAAATTTATCAAAGCAAAAGAGTTCTCTTACTCGCATTTATAACAGCAACATATCATGATTTTGAAAGCAACAGAAACATACTTCTGTGAACTGATTTGTTTACAGCTAGCAGGAAGGTTGCTAACTATTCCAGTTATATTTTTCATGGCCTAAAACAGAGCACTGCTCATTCGGAGTCCTGCACTGAACTAACAAGCTTTCTGCTGCTTGAAGTGTCATAGGGACAGGAGAGAGCCACATCCAGCCGTGCTGCAGTCATGCAGCTACTTCCACATCATGTACTCTGCAGCTTGAATGCCTCAGGGAAGAGTATTAGTGGGAGCACAGGGCTGCAGTCCCTTAATCATCCCTTCTAGGTGAAACTATTCCTTGTTCTAGCAAATCAACCTTCATTTATGACTGGAGGACACTCACTCATCAAATCCTGTGCTGTTGTCGGTCATTGCACTGGTGAGGCTGCACCTGGAATACTGTGTCCAGTTTTGGGCCCCTCAGTACAAGAAGGACATTGAGGTGCTGGAGCGTGTCCAGAGAGGGGCAACGAAGCTGGTGAAGGGTCTGGAGCACAGGCCTGATGAGAAGCGGCTGAGGGAACTGGGGTTGTTTAGTCTGGAGAAGAGGAGGCTGAGGGGAGACCTTATCTCTCTCTCTCCAACTACCTGAAAAGAGGTTGTAGTGAGGTGGGTGTTGGTCTCTTCTCCCAAGTAGTTAGCGATAGCACAAGAGGAAATGGCCTCAAGCTGCATCAGGGGAAGTTTAGATTGGATATTAGGAAAAATTTCTTTACGGAAAGGGTAGTCAAGAATTGGAAGAGGCTGCCCATAGAGGTGGTGGAGTCACCATCCCTGGAAGTGTTCAAAAAACGGGTAGATGTGGCACTTTGGGACATGGTTTAGTGGGCATGGTGGTGTTGGGTTGATGGTTGGACTGATGATCTTGGAGATCCTTTCCAACCTTAATGATTCCTAGTTTTTACTTTCATTAAAAAATAACCCAGTCACCAAGCCAGGAAACATGAAATTATGACTCTACCCTAAATTGGTTTAGTGGTGGACTTGGTAGTGCTAGGTTAATGGTTGGACTTGATGATCTTAAAGGTCTTTTCCAACCTAAACAATTCTGTGATTCTGTGATACTATAATTGTCTTACACGTCTCAGTCACAAGTCTGAAAGTACTCGAAAACCTATAACATTTCCTCACAGTGTCACAGACCTAATGTCCTAAGGTGCTATAAAAATGAGATAAAGGTTTCTATCTGCTTCTATGGAATGACCCAAACATGCATAGAAGGTTTTTAATTTCCTTGTGTTGTGGAGGCCTTTTTCAGTAATATCTGGCTACAGCCTCCCCTTCACACATGCAGTCCATGCTCAGTTCTCCTACCAAAAGTTACCTCTGTTGTTAGCTTTTGTATTGGGTTTGCGTGGCAATGTTTTGATAGTGGGGGGAGCTACAGGGGTGGCTTCTGTGAGAAGCTGCCAGAAGCTTCCCCTCCAAGGGAGCCAGCGCCAGCCGGCTGCAAGACAGACCCACCGCTGGCCAAGGCCGAGCCCATCAGTGATGGTGATAGTGCCTCTGGGATAACATAGTTAAGAAAGGGGAAAAAAAAAAAAACCCACAAACTGCAGCTGGAGTGAGGAGTGAGAATATGTGAGAGGAACAGCTCTGCAGACCCCAAGGTCAGTGCAGGAGGAGGGCAGGAGGTGCTCCAGGTGCAGGAGCAGAGATTCCCCTGCAGCCCCTGGTGCAGCCCCTGCTGAGGCAGCTGTGCCCCTGCACCCATGGGGGCCCACGGGGGAGCAGAGATCCACCTGAGCCCGGGGAGGAGCCCACGCCGGAGCAGGGGGATGTGCCCCAAGGAGGCTGTGACCCCGTGGGAAGCCC